GATGTCTGGGTTTGTTGCATGTGACCAACCATTATGGGGGCTCTTCATTGTTTTGTGTTCCAGAATTTGTTTTCTCAGTGTCTGATCTCCCAGGGGTCTGTGTGAGACCTATAGTCTTCTTTTGGTTTTTCTTCATTTGTGCGGTTTTTCCCTCTCCCTACTCTTTCCTTCCCTCCATGTCACCGTCTTCTTTAATTTTGTTATTCGGGGGTAAAGGGATTGGTTTTACTTCTGTTTGTTCAATCTCCTATTCTTTATGTATGCCCTCTTTCTTTGTTCGATTCTGAAGTTGTATTGTAGGTTGGGGGTGGTACTTTTTGCAGTTTTGAGATTTACTTAAGTGGGGAGCTGTGATTCAAAATCTATATGCAGGTCCTGGTATTTGCTGACAGGTGTGTGGATAATCTGGGACCCACTTCCCACTGCCTTGTGATCTGTCCGTGCAGTGGGGCTGTAGGTTTACTCCCTGAAATAAAATGTGGTTAGCAGAGGGAAGAAAATGGAGCAGACAGTGGGTTGAAGAGGGTGGTGGAGAGATAGAGGAGTAAGGGGGGAAACAAACGTGTGCCAACAAATGGAGAGAGAGACCTATACTGAAACAGATAAAAACAATAGACCACAGCTACAGATGAACCAACTCCCATACAAACAAATAAAACATATAGTGATGCTAACATAGAAGCTAACCAACCACCTTATTGATGTGCTGTTCCTCTATACAAAGATATGGTTTACAGAGAGAAGAAAAGAGAAGAAGAGGAAGAGGAAAAAAAAAGAAAAGGAACAATTCAGTAGGAATAGAATTAAGTTATTAAACTAACAGAATCAATGAAGCACACTCTGAGACTTTTCATTTAAGTCCAATGTCCTTTCAGTTCTGATTTCTAGTTTTCTTTTCAAGCTGGTAAATTAGTTTGCAGTTGGGTCAGTTGCCCCTGGTCTGCTGTGAAGGACAGTTCAGATCACCCTCCGTTCACCACTCTGGCCTATGTCTTTTTCAAGCTTGTTTCTCCCGTTTCGGTGTTGTTACCTTGAATCGCCAGCAGGTGGTGCTATCTCAGCTGCTCCCCCAGAGGGGGTGGGGCCAGACAGGAACGGCAGAGACTGGAGATGGATGCCTGCCTCAGGGCACAGGCAGGAGACTCACGGCGGACAGGACGTCTCGGTTGCAGGAGAGGTGGCAGTGATCCCAGCAGATCTTCCCTGAAGGGGCTTCAAGGACTGAAGTCATGGATTGCCTCCGGCCTGGGTGGTGTGATGTTCTACTGGCGGCGGTGGCGGCGGCGGCGGCGTCTGCGCTGCAGTGGCTGTCCAGTCCACTGCGATGCCCCAGCAGTGGCAACAGCCGAGCTCCGTATGAAGAGCAGGCTGCGATGTTGTGGTCCGTAGCCCCCGGGATGAGAGCCAGAGACCCACTGCAGTTCTCCTTTGCAGAGGATTTCACAGACCAGGTTGCCCCATCGCCATCTTGCCGGAAGACTACTACATTGTTAAAATGCAGTTAAACCAGACTTTTTTCCTTAAGTATTTGAGTTTTGTGTTACATTTCAGGATGCTTTGCAATTACTTTGCCTCAATTTAGGCTTGAGAATTTTCAAGCAGTTGCCATGGTCATTGTACCATTACCTCCCTGGAGGGCAGGGAAGAATTATCTTTATAGAGAGTTAAATAACAGTGGTAGGAGCAGATATTCTTGCTTAAATGTAAAAATGGAACTACTAATATAGCAGCCAACATTTACTAAGCACTTAGTATATATTTCTGAGGTTAATGGGAAGGCTGTGGTACTTCATTGTGAAATAGGGTCTCAAATGTTGATTAGTGATAGATATTGATTGTTTAATTGGAGTTTACCAAAATTTTTTTTATCAGGAATGATTAAAAAAAAAATTTTCCAAATGCAATTTTGCGAGCTAACAGTATGATCACATTATAGCTGCACATGGTTTGGTCATTGTGTTAGAACTTTATATTTATAAATAAGGAAGATTTATATTTCTTATACTGTTTTTTAAAGTTTTGATATCAGAGTTATGCTGACTTTTATATAATGAAATGGAAAACCTTCCTTGATTTTTTCTGTGCCATGACACATTTTCAACAGCATAATGCAGTGACATTCTCATGGCCACTGCAACCTCCACTTGCTGGTCTTCTTTCTGCCTCAGCCTTCCAAGTAGCTGGTACTACAGGCATGCACCACCATGCCTGTCTAGTTTTTTGATTTATTGTAGAGACGAGGTCTCACCAAGTTGCCCAGGCTGGTCTCGAACCTCTGGGCTCAGGCCATCCTCTCACCTTGGACTCCCAAAGTGCTGGAATTACAGGCATGAGCCACTTACACCCAGCTAAATTCTATTTTTTTAAAAAAAAAGGTTTGGTAGTATGTTCCTCTAAATCACTGTTGACATTGTCTATTTCCATATTGCTATTGAATTGTTCAGAGTCTACTTTTTGAGTCAATTTTGACAATTTATATTTTCTTATGAATCATCTCTTTCATCTAGTATTTCGTAATTTTCAGCATAAAACTGTATATATTCCCTTATACTTGTATTCAGTCTCCTTTGTCTCTTTGGCTATATCCATTTTCTTATTTCCTATATTGTATAATTGTATTTTCTCTTCTTCTTGAGTTTTGCAAGAGGTTTGTATATTTTATTGATCTTTTCAAAGAGCTAGTTGTTCTACTGTTTTTATTCTAATCCTTTAATTTCTGCTTTTATCTTTTTAATGATTCTTTTGTTTCCCTGAGGTTTATTGGTTGGGGGTTGTTTTGTCAGCTTGTTGAGTGGAATAACTTAATATTTCATTTTCTTGTTTAATAATTTTGAAGGTGACTTTTTAACCTTTTTAAAGGTGACTTTTCTCTCATTTTCTCTCAAGCTTTAAACATCTCTTCTTCCATCTTTACTCTTAGCTGATGACCTTGATTCCTGCATTGATGGGAAAACTAAAACAGCCTGCAAAGAGCTTCCAGAGACACCCCACTTCCTTTCCCCACTGCCACCATCTGCACCCCATTTTCTCTCTTCCTGTTTATTGTCCTAGGTTACCATTCTTGCTCCCGCTTAGAGTTAATCCCTTCAATTCTCCCCACTTCTTACATCCTCAGACTTTCTCTCTCTCCTGGATTATGCATGTCTACCCACAAGTGTGCTGTTATAGCTCCGTCTTTTATTAACTGTCTCTCGCCCTCACTTTACCACCAGATGCCCACAATTTCATTGCTCAGCTGTGAGTCAAATTCTTCTGGAATGTTATTTCTACTTACTTTCTCAAATACCTCTTTCCCTACTCTCTCTTGAATCCACTGTATAATGCTTTCATTCCCTCACTTCATAGAGACTGCTCGTGTGGATCACCGACCCTCACTGCTCATTGAGCTACTACTGCGGTTGGATATCAGACCTCATCTTACATGACACAGTAACTGCTCAGTCTTTTGTCATATGTGGTCCTCAGTTGGCCTCAAGGGCACCTCAAACTCTATGTCACTGGTTGCTTCTTCTCACTCTCCTTTGCTGGTTCGTCGTTTTCTCTATGACCTCTTAATGTTAGAGAGTCCCAGAGTATAGTCTTAGACCTCCTCTCTTGTCTATTTTTACCCTGTCTTTTGTGATCTCATCTATTGTGATGGCTACCACCTATATATTCATAGCACCAAATTTGTTTTTTGGGATTTTTTTTTGTTTTTGAGTTGGAGTCTCACTCTGTCGCCCAGACTGGAGTGCAGTGGCTG